CCAGTTCAAATCTGTAACAAAACAGAAGTTCAGTGCACATAAATCACTTTCAAGATGGTCAAAACCAGTTTAAGATAAATCTGGATGGATGTAGTATAAAACTTTACTGATTTAGGTTAAATCAGTTTATTGAACTTGTGTCCCAGTTCCGCTCTAGATTCAAATTAACAATTAGATAACTTGGAAGTACTTGCTTATAATTCATAACATTAAAATATAACTTAAATTTATGTTACTGTTATTAAATTTATCTTACTTGTACATAGAAATGACCTCTACAGGAAAACTTTAGCAGAAAGGATAAGGCAATTAACTTCTTTCAGTTCATCAATGAGTTTGCTGCGAATTGAACACCAGAAATAGACAGAACTTTAACCCTGAAAGGCCGTAACCTGAAACTTCAGGTTGAAGAGCATACATGGCTTACGCTTCAAGTTCAGATTTCCTGATTGTGAAGGCACAGATGACTACCGAGTTGTTTGTCCATAGTGTTGTTTATAGTTAAAGACTATTAATTAAACTATAACATTAAAGACTGTCACCATAGAAGAATGTAGGGTTCAGAAAAAACTATGCAAGTAAAAAGTACTGAGTAACTGGCGGAAATAGAAAAGGACCAGGGATTTGCATAACAAAATAAGCTAATGACGTGAAATAGAATTTACAAAGAATTTATATTTTCAGCAGCACAAAGTACTATATACTTTTTATTATGAAATTTGAACAGGTGAGGAGAGGTTGCAAGTGCTCACATGTCATTTAAGAGCAACCATAGGGAGATTGGCTTTAAATCATTTGTTACAGTGTAATTTCATTCCCAATACAAGGGAACACTTCAACCACAATATTCTGCTATAGCACAAATTTTATTTTTCTATCAGTGTAACAAAGCAAAATAAGACCTTAATAACCTACTTATCTTAGGTTTTTATCATTATGTGTAATTTACTTACCCAATATCATGCTGATCTATAACATTAAAAATCTTTGAAATTGAAAATCTTTGAAATACAATAAAAAGGTAGCACAAAAATAATGCACACTCATTGAAACCATGCAGCAAAACAAAATGCATGCTCCATTATTCTACTAGTGTGAGTGGCTTTAGTAGCACTAATCCACACTCTGGCAGATTAAAAAACATTTATATAAAATAACACCAGAGAACTCACAAATAGTGCTCTATAGAGTGAGGTAGTGTTTTCACAAAAGACTAGTCCTGATGCTCTCCTCTCTTTTAAGTATCCACACCCAAAGCTTCCCTCGTAGATACTCTTAGGCAGATGGAAATGGAAGGAGAAAGCAGAGAGTGATAGCATTGTGGCAGAATGAATGCATAAGCATCTTTGCTACATAGGAAAGTTAAGGAAAACAGTCAAAGGATTTTAGAGCAACTGATAGATATAACAAATATGCACACGTTTGTCACTGTACATTGTTTCATCAATTAATCCAGTTTCTTTAGTGCTGCAAGGCAGGCCTTTAAAAAATGTATATTTCAAAGTACATTGATCTTATACGGCATACCTCATTTCCTTGGTTTACTCTCTATACCCTATGTTTAGATTTTAACATGAGACAGTCCGACCAAGTAACTGAAAAGGGACAAGTCCTTTAAACCAGTTCAGTTACTAGTCCTGGCAGACAGAGGGTAAGTGTAAGGTCTTTTTCTCAGCTATGACCCATGTATGTCATGGCTGTAAATGCTTCTAACGTGGATTACCCATCACAACAACAGAAATTTAGCTCGAATACCAGCACCCTAAACCTGGAATGTATTGCTAATACTAAGGATATTAGCTGTAAACTAGTTTTTAGGTACCATCAAAGTAATGATTATGCTACAGGATATTTTAGTGAAAATATTAAACTTAAGAAAAAAATCTTAATTCTTATCTACACCAATTTTTATATTTATTTCAAAGGCATAGCTTTAATTTAATCAGCAAGACTTCTAGTCTGACTTTCAAACGTTTCGCTCCCCATTGAAAAAGATGTGGCTAGAGCTAGAGATTCAGTATCCTAACATTTACACCACATTATTCCACAAGTAAATATGTGCCTAGTTTTTGCCAGCATGAGGATGGACACCTGAAAGGGTATTTGCTGTTACTGTGTAATTTTAAAGCAGAAAGACAAACTTTTCCCTCTCATCTTGGAAAGGACCCATCTAGAGCTTTCAACAATTTTACTATATCAGACTAATGGCTAAAGCTTGTAAGAGTTTGCTTAACAGCTCTATGATGGCTTGTAAATATTCTTGTCTATAGTGCCAACAGAAGTATTTTCAGTCTCTGTGAGGAAATTTATTCACAGCAACTTTTACACCCATCTCTAAGCCCTCTCCCTTTCTGTTTTATCTTTTTTGAAGGCAGGGAAACCAGGATTGGACACACATGGAGAGTGTCAGTCAGGGCCTGTTTTTCCACTTAAAATTAAAATTACCTGAACAAATGTGCTATAGCTGCACTCAACACCCCCGCAAAACACCCTGATAACATTCCAGCTTTCCTACTGTATTACTCCTTAAGACTTTACTCCCATGGTGCCACAGATAAATGCTACCAGAAAAAACATAAACAGTGTGAATTTAGGAAAAGAGCACCAGATTAGGACCCAAAAATCCTGAGCTCAATTCCCAGCAATGTCTCTGGCCTGCTGGCTGACTTGGGGCAGATAATTTCCCCTTTCTGTGCCTGAGGCCACGGACAGACATAACAGTCATACCAGTATCAAACTGTACTGGTATAAACTGTTCCAACATAACTGTAAATTCTGCATGCTGCTATCATGATATGCAACACAAAACCTCTGGGACTTCAACACAGTTTCATTCAGGGTTAAATTTATAGTGATTTATACCTATATAGAAGCATTCAGACTTAGTTATATAGGAATAGCTGACATATGCTCCTGTGAGAACTATTGATCAAGTGTTAGATACTATTATTATCATTACACATTCAGATGAAAATATTGTCCCAAAAAGTGGGCCTTAAGCCTCTACTGATGTTTAATAATTAAAAAAATAAAGACTTTAAATTTATCTGATCTTTCTGAGGGAAATCAGGATGAATTAAAGGGTCCTGCTACACATTCAAGTTAAAGCTGGATAGAAGTCAGCTATGGAGTTGTTACACATTTTTGAGCACTAAGTTTGTAGCTGGCTGGTTCTTTCTTTAGCTGAATAGTCATGTGATAATTACAAATGTGGCTGATCTCAATTTACTGCATGATTAACCAGTTAATTGCATAATATATTATGTAGTGTGTAGCAGGGGCCATAGATTTACATGAAACAGGAATATGAAGAAGGCAAAGATGACAATCTCCAATAGCATCTGTTTACTTGCTGAAGAAGGTACACTACTGTGGAGAATTAGGGCTCTATTGAAGAGGGGAAACAGAAAAATCTAAACACCTAATTTTAGTGAACATATTTTATTGCACTTTGCAGATTTTTTTAAACTGAAAGATTTGCTTAATTCCTGTAAAACCAAGTATTTGAGCAATTTTACAGGAAGGTCAGTACAATTTACTGAGAGCAAACTAAGACAGTAGACAAACACTTTTCTAAAAGTGCAGGAGTATCTTGAAAAAAACATTAGGCAAAAGCAGATTACCTGATCCAGGTGATTTTGTTGACCAAATGAGGCAAACTCTCTCAATTTGTAGCTCTCAGTATTACTGAAGTTTAAAAGGTAATATGCAAGATGAAATCCCACATAGTTTGTAGGGCTTTACATTCTACGTAAAACTTTCATATTGTTTCCAACTATTACTTTAGTTTTAGTCCGTATGAAACAAATGATGAAGGAATGTACCTTCTGAGAGGAGTCATATGGGAAGAAGCCAGAACTTGCTCAACTTATTTACACTTACATTTGTTTGATATTGCATTTCAGGTGAGACTAACTTAAATATTCCTGTTTTAAAAATGGCATGCTTTTATAACTCTTTTGGTTGGTAAACCTTATTTGACAATATTAACGAAATCATAATACACCAAGCTGAACTACAATAAAAACCAATAAATACCCTGCATTCGAAAGACTGTCTAAAACTATCCCAACCATGCATCCATGGTCCAGTATATGATATCACTCAGAAAAATCTTTGCCTAATGCTAGCTTTTATGTTTTTACTTAGGATATGTTTTCCACTACCTTTTAAAATTGTGACAAACTCTTTACTAATCTGCACTCAACTGTGAGATAGCCTGTGCTTGCTGCTCTTGGGCACTCTGTGTATACACGCAAGTTTAAAATGAAGACAAGTGTTGTTCACAAACCTATTATATCTGATGAATCAGCACCCAATAAATAAGCTTGCTTGAACTCAGGGTAGCGGAGCCATCCACTTCTTTTGTCTAGGCTGATACATATTTGTTGTTGTTGCTTTTTTTTAAAAACAGTATTAATAAAATATGCAGCCTTGCCGAATCCAGTAATGGTGCATTTAAAAAAAGTTGCCGTGATAAAACAGCAGACTTTACAAAATATCTTTCACATCATATAAACATGTGGACCTTGTATTGCACACATGAAAACATAAACAAGAATAGAACATGGTATAATGTGTGTTACTAAAGCAGTGCAGCATACCATTAAGCAAGATGTGCTATAAGAAAGTAAGAGGTGCTCTAAGCAAAGGCTACTAGCATAGTATGACTTACTGGAAGATTTCTTGCTGAATCCAAATACAAAATAAGCAATGCAGAAGAAAGCCCATCATTGGCTTGGTCTTTGTCAGCTTTAATGCTTGTGAGTGCCTAAATGAAAGATAGTAAAATGAAATGCACTAAGCATGTTTTTGTAAACTGAACAAAAATACAAAGTTATTTCTATTCCAAATGCTAACCCCCCCACAAATAAATACATACCTGCATATGGTAAGACAGTATCCATGAAAAAATCAAA